ACACATCTATGGTCTTGTCGTCATCTGCCACTCCAGCATGTATCGTGGCGACGGTGTAATTGTCCTGCCCAAGTTCGAATTTGCAAGCACGCTACAAGCCATTCAAGACTACAAGATCAACTCGCTGTTTTTGGTCCCGCCGATCATTATTCTGATGACCAAGAACAAGCCCTTGCTTGATAAGTACGATCTGAGCTCTGTCTGGTCACTGTTCACTGGCGCGGCGCCTCTCGGTTCAGAAACAGCTGAAGACTTGCAGAAGATCTTCCCATCTTGGAAGATCCGACAGGGTTACGGACTTACTGAGACCTGCACCGTCGTGTGCTCAAGCTCCCCCACAGACATTTGGTTCGGTTCTTCTGGCTCGCTCCTCCCTGGTATCGAAGTCAAGATTGTCACCCCCGAAGGCAAGGAGATTACCACCTATGACGAGCCCGGCGAGCTGTGCGTCAAGAGCCCTGCAGTCGTGCTTGGCTACCTCAACAACGACAAAGCAAACGCAGAGACCTTCATAGATGGCTACATGCATACGGGCGATGAGGCAGTAATAAGGAAGGCTGCTTCTGGAATCGAGCACGTCTTCATTACCGATCGGATAAAGGAGTTGATCAAGGTTCAGGTACGCCTTCCCTAGCCCTTGACCGCTACAAACATGCTAACAATGACCAGGGCCACCAAGTCGCGCCTGCTGAACTGGAAGCCCATCTGCTCACCCACCCCGCAGTCAACGACTGCGCCGTGATCCAGATCCCCAACGAGAAGACTGGTGAAGTGCCCAAGGCCTATGTTGTCAAGTCGCCTAGTGTCGGGCTCGAGGAGAATGATCGCCTCCTCGCCCGCAGCATCCAACAGCATGTTGAGAAGCACAAGGCGAGGTACAAGTGGATCTCTGGTGGTGTCGAGTTTATTGACGAGATCCCCAAGTCGCCCTCGGGTAAGATTCTGAGACGATTGTTGAGAGACAAGGAGAAAGAGAAGAGGAGGAAGGCTGGGAGCAAGTTGTAATTTGGTGTGGGCATATCATAATATACCTGCTTTTTGAATATTGTTAACTGTCTGATACGAGAGCTCGCTGTGCGTGACGTCGTCTTACTGCCTTGTCGGGGCTGTGTTTGTGCTGCATATGATCGTATGCATGCCAAGATTCAGCCTAAGGTTCAGCCCCAGCCTCAGCCTCATTTGGTGGCCTCCCATCCGACACCTTCATAAACAGCAGGAGTAGGAACCGGATCGGTTTTGCACATTGCACAATCATCGTCTCATTGACCATGTCAGGACTCGAAGTGGCAGGCGTAGTCTTAAGCGTCGTACCAGTTGCAATTACCGTTCTTGAAACAGTCGGAGGCATCGCAAGAAGTTTATTCTTCTTCCTTGAATACTATGGTCCACCCGGACTCATTCTGTACGTGTTTGGGAGTCGCGGCATGTGGCAGCTCCAAGCACAGGTTTTGTGTAGCCCGGACGACAGGCAAGTAATGGATTTCAAGACGTCGGCACAAGCAGATAGCAACATTATTGCTGTGGCGGTAAGTACCCATGCTCATCGCGCAGATCGGTAATGTTAACGCAGTTACAGGCTACAATTATAGCCCAGATTGCAATCACTGCGCTCTCGCTGGCGGACCTCAGTCGAACCCATTGGGTCGCCAGGGGCGCATTTACGTTCAGCTTATTATCGGCAATTATGGCAGTGTACTATGCAACAAGCCAGTATCGTAAAATGGGACGCTGTCTACGACCTGTGCAAGTGCGTGCTTGGATCAAAGGCAAAAGACACCGCTACTCCTGGCAACCGGCAAACTCGAAGAGAGTGCTCTATCAAGACGTTCTACCCTCGACGGCCTCGGTTCTGACTGTCTCGGCACCCAATATGCTACTGTCAGCCTCCTTAAACTCATTTCTCGTTGGGCTTGGTGTCTACTTTGGACAGATCTGGATAAGAAGCCTCGACGAAGATGCGGGGGATTATGCAAGTCGCGCGGTGTTCATCACATATATTGTCAGCCTTCTCGTGTGCTACAGCATCTTCGGACTGTCGAGCCTTGTGGTAGCGGGCGAGAGCTATCAGAGCGAGAGGGAATTTCTCGACTTGGTACAGCCGAACCTGACTGCGGAAGATGGTCATCTGCGACACGCAGAGACTGTACAAAATGGCCCGGTTGGTGGAGAAGCCATGCGCGTGAGTTCCTCGCGCATTGTGGAACAAGACGTAGAGGCCACTGGGTCTCGGTCTCCACCTTCGGTTGACGACTCTGTGACACCGCCTCAGCAGGACAATGGCAGTGCGCCTTTGAAAGAAGGAGACAAGCAAGAGTTGGTTTCTGCACTGCGAGATCTTGTGGCATTACGCAAAAAGGCTGCAGAGGTTGATGAGCGTATTGTACAGATTTTGACAAAGTTGCAATGACTTTTTGGATGAGGCACATATAAAGTAACATGACATTGTCAGGTTAAAGGCCGGGCGGGCAGTTGAATGAGGGAGCCTCGCAAAACTTAAGACGTTCTTGGTGGGGTTAAGGGCAATTGAATATATGAGGCAGTTCCACGACAGTGACTCGTCTGATACTCATCATGTACATCTTGACAAATATCGATGCTTCCCAGGAGGAATCAATCTCGTGCATTCGGAGACGAAGACATGCCCAGGTGCTTACCAATGACGTGCGTGGGGTCGGATGTGGTGCCCCTCAATCACCGACGCGCGCCCGCCCGAAAGAAAAAGTTGTTGGTGGAAGGCGCAATCAGCCATTTCTAAGCAGCGCCATACTACAACCTACAAATTACCCCTTGGACGCGGCAAAAGTTCGCGACCTGAACCTCTCTCTTTCTCTCATACACGCATAAACGACCCGTCTTGCACAGACTCATACAATGGCGGCCCCAAACCCGGCCCAAGCCCACCAAGAAGATGATATCGATATTCACGATGAGGACAACACGCTTGACGCAGACGAGGCAGAGGAGATTGTCGAGGACGATGGCGACGTACCCATGGACTCGGACGACGAAGGCGATGATGGTGTTGAAATGACAATAAATCTGCAAAACGACTCAATTGCGCATTTTGACGGACACAAGGACAGCATCTTCTGCATAGCGCAACATCCCGTGCACCCCGAGATCATAGCAACTGGTGGCGGTGACGATACTGGATACATTCTCGACGTCTCCTCAGCAGCTGCAGCGCAACCGAGTAGCGACGGCCAGCCCACCGAGCGCGAGAGCCTAAAGAGCATCTTCACACTAGACGGACACAAGGACTCAATCAACGCAATCACATTCACCGAGCCCAAGGGTCAATTCGTCGCGACTGCTGGTCTGGACGGCAAGCTGCGCGTTTGGCAAGGCGTCCCCGAGGGTACAAAATGGAAACACCTAGCTGAGGCCTCGGAAGTAGAGGAAATCAACTGGCTCATCGCAAACCCCTCCGCCGACCACCCCAACGTCGTCGCACTCGGCGCAAACGATGGATCTGTTTGGGTCTATCAGATCAGCACAGATAAGGGCAATGAGCTCCAGGTTCTGCAAGCATACTACCTCCACACCGAGACCTGCACAGCCGGCACATGGTCACCCGACGGTTCCCTCCTCGCGACTGTATCCGAAGACTCGAGTCTGTACGTCTGGGATGTATTCGGCCACGCTGCATCGCAGGGCCTCACATCAACAACAGATGCACAAACAGTCGTCGGCTTGACCGGCGTTGACGAACGTTTCCGCGTAGAAGGTGGACTATACTCTGTCGGCATCCCACCATCCGGCGCATTCGTCGCTGTCGGCGGCCCAGAAGGCCAAATACGCATCGTCGGACTGCCGCGCCTCTCTCTCGCCGCACCAGCAGCTTCAACCTCGTCTAGCGGTGGTGGCGCAAAGAACAAAGCCGGTGGTGGGAAACAGGCTGGCGCAAAGGGCGGCGCGGCATCCGCAGGACAGACTGGCCAGATTCTCGCGAGTCTGCAGGCTGGCAGCGATAACGTCGAGTGCTTGAGCTTCTCGTCACCGCCGCTTACGCTCATGGCTGCCGGTAATGTCGACGGCTCCATTACACTATTCGACACTGCACATCGCTTTGCCGTGCGTCGGCGGATAGAAGACGCGCATTCGGATGAGGACTACCCGCAGGCTGTTGTCAAGCTGGAGTTTGTTAAGAAGGAGGGTCCAGGTGGGTGGTTGTTGACTAGCGCGGGATACGATGGCGTGCTCAAGCGATGGGATACTCGTGGTGGCACAGCGGCTGCTGGCAGAGGACTGGTGGGTGAGTGGAAGGGACATAGGGGTGGGGGCGAGGGAGGAGGTATCATGGGCTTTGTACAGGGGAATGGGGAGGCTGTTATTACGGCTGGAGATGATCATGTTGCGTTGGTGTTCAAGACGCCTTTGTCACAGTAGAAAGGTGGCATGGTTTGGGTATGAAGATGTAGAAACTCATGTTCTGGAGCATCTGTAGCTCGAAAGTTAATTGCGCGCGATGGCTGCAATGCGAATCATGACAATGCTGACATTGTGTTGACGCATTGTGATGCCTACACATACATACAATAGCTTTCACCAGATATCAGGACAGGGTCTCACGGTGAATGACAGTCAGGAAGGAGCGCTGGGTGAATCACGCAACTGCCTTATACAAACGCGACGACCCGTGCCTGCCCAAATCACAATTGTGCGCTCAAACTTTTCCATTTCCTTTTCACGAAATCAACACACTCTCCAAACCAACAAAAACTCACACCTGTTCCCGTCACGACCCTCTTCACAACATCTGTCCTGCAACACCGTCACAGCCTGGCCAATGCCAGACGGCCGCTAACCTCACCGCCCACCATCGGCGTGCCAGCCAATCGCACGAGTGCCGGACTGTCCATCTGTCATCGTACGACCCCACCGCCCCAGCAAAGACCACGTTCATTGCCACCTTGCCCATTCACTTTCACCAGCCAAGCTCACATTCACTTTTATTGGTTTCAATATAAGTCAAAATTTTGGTCATCAGTCCATCGAGAGGAACGGTAACTCAGTGGTAGAGTGTAGGATTGCAGCTCCGCGACAATCCTGAAGTCATCAGTTCGATCCTGGTTCGTTCCTGTGTGGACAAATTCAATCCTCTCTTTTTTGCCCTTGATCGGGCCCCAGCTGGTGGGCTGGCGGCTGGAGTTGTTTTTGGTGGATTGGGAGTGTGTGCTAAGGGGTGGGGCGACGTGCACGATTGGCGAACGTGGTTTCGTCTCAAAGCACTTGCAACATTCATCACTCATATGTGCACAGCATGGTCTCAAGTTGCGAACATATATTGGGAGCTAATAGATATGTATACAGGCTACAATTGCTGTGCTGGCGATTTGCCAACTCCCTCTAACGTGAACAATGGCTATAGTCGTTTCGAGCGGCTGAACAATATTCGTCGCAAGGCTCGGTATTGCCCATCATCTCAGACCCTGGAAATCCTACTGTCGAGTCATTTCCCTTGTGTCGTACGATTTTGAACATCACGGAGTCAAATCCCATGTATGGGTAATGTTGATCCCCGTACGTGTACGAGGGTATTACAAAAGAATGTGCTTGCTGCTAACAAGCGACCTGTCTTTACATTCCGCCAACGCGTTCCCGAACACCGCTTCGCCTCGCGATAGTTTGTCTGCACATCATGTCAGCCACACACGCTCAGCTCACACGTGGTTTCGTACTGCACAATGCATCAGTAGTTTGACTGGGGCGCTTATCGTGTACCTAGGCAACATGGTTCAGGGTCCAGCTTCAAACTCTCTTGTCAAGCTAGCCTTACCAAGGGCCGCCCGCCCTAGTCAAGACGTCAAGAACACACTATCTTCGCAAGTCGAGCCGGACTCCCCGGCTCAGGTACAGCCAATCGCGCATGAGGACTATCGCGATTCAAAATATCATGCCGGGCTTTTCTCCACTTTGGCTCGTAGATACTGAGGTAAGGCTTCAAGGTCGAGAACGTGGAAGGGTTCCGTTGTGTCTCAACGAGCCGGCTCTTGGGTATGTCGGACCATGGGAAGGCTTGTACCTAGCCGTAAACCGTCAGGAGTAAAGCGGGCGAACCGCGAGGTCAATTTATATACATTACCCGTAGACTTTCCCGTGAGCTTATTTCCATCATCTGCTTTCCTGACTTCCTAGGAATTATCATCACAAGCGCAATGGCAGAACAACAACAACCCCAACTCATCCGCATAACCGTGTTTGCACAACACAACCCCAAACTCTCAGAATCTCAATTCAACGAACACTGGGCCACAAAACACGGGCCCCTCGTTGCGGAATGGCTCAAGCGCAACGGCATTGTGAAATACGTCCAAGTATGTTCTTTTCTTTGTCCCCAAAACGTCATTATCATCATCCAGATACCTCTCAGCCCCAACTCCGTCGCCCAACAGACCAAGTAACCCACGCGCCAGTACCACACCACATCCGAAGCGCGCGCGCTCCTCTCCATGCCCACACTCTCATACGACGGCGTCGCAGACTTCTGGGTCAAAGACTACAAGGACTTTGAGAATGCGTACAGCGATCCGTATTACCTCGAGGTGGTCAAGAAGGACGAAGAGTACCTGTTTGATATGAGTACCATGCGCGTCACAGCGGGCATCGAACTGGATATCATTGTAGATGGGAAGATTGTGGAGGATCCGCATGGCCATTTGTAAGGGTGGGGTCTGGGGGGGAACTGGGGATGCGCTGGGGAGAGAGGGAAGTGGTGTGGTTATGAGGGCGGGAAATGGTAGGGATATCCAGATTGTACGAACTTGCGATGGCATAGCGATAGCGATGCATTGAACTATTAGTGCTTTGTCCTTTCATGTTTTTTGCCATGTGTTTTTGGCGACGTTGGTTGCATATCTTTCAAGTATATTGTACTCATCGAAATGCAGGCGATTGAAACATTACCGGTGTTGAGCCGCCCAGTGATTGGGGTATTGATCGTGTTCTGGATTGGCCGTGTATATATCCGACATCTTGATGCGTAGCACATCGATCCTCCTTATTGATAGGCAAGTATACTCAGAATATTACAGAGCTATGGCGCTCACTATACCCCTCATTGTGCAACGAATCCGCTCGACCGGCTACCACGACGCGCTGATTCTTTGCGATCCGTGGTACACTCAAGATTCCAGCATCAGAGCACTTCCTGTTTCGCTGGCATTCTCCTAGACTCTTACTTGAATGATCAAGTATACTTTACTCGCACATACATGTCAAATTTCTGTTATAGGAAATGATGTCCATCGACCAGCTTCTCGAAAAGGCAAAATCTTACTCATCACCGGCGGCGCCTTAGGTAATGTCCTCACCTCACCATACCACCCTGCCCCTCCCTTCGTGTCTAATGAACACCCTCCCCCAAAGCATCGGCCTCGAAATAGCCAAACAAGCCCACACCCTCAACACCTGCATTCTCATCGCAGACCTCAAACCAAACCCCCCTTCCTCGCCTCGCCGCCAACAAACCCACCATCCTCTTTCACCAATGCGATGTGAGCGACTGGTCTTCCTTTTCCGCACTCTTCGCAGCCTGCGAGGGTAAATATGGCGACGTGCCTGATGCATACGCCATCTGCGCTGGAATCTTCCTCCCGAGCAGAACGGGTATAAGATGGTGCAGGTCAATGTGAACCATCCTGTTAAACTGGCGAGGTTGGCGACGAGAAGGAGTTTGGGGAGGGGGAAACGGGCTAGTGTGTGTATTATTGTACGTGTGGTTTTCGTTGTCTTGGCGGAGTTGGAGGGGGAGGTGCGAGTGGGTTCTTGTTATTGTTGTTGTATGTTGGGTATTTTTGGCTGACGCAGAAGAAGGCATCTGTTGCGGGCATACGAGGCATTATCACACCGTTTTATGCAGCGAATAAACATGCGATTGTGGGATTCGTCAAATCGCTCAAAGACAGCGAGACGCTTACTGTTGTGAAGGTCACGGCGTTGTGTCCGGGTCGTGTGTTGATGCCTTTATTCGATAAAGCGAAGTTGGAACAGTATTCAATTATACCGGAGAACACCTCCACGCCTGATACGAGCGCGACGCATCTTCTGGAGTTGTTGCAGGGGGAAAGAGTATCCGTGTGGTAGTGTGGTGACGATCACGTCGGCAGGGACCAAAGTAATCCTGGACTGGAATGTTGAGCCGCCGGAGGTCGTGGTGTCAGTGAGAGAGGTTTTGAGTGAGAGGGATATTGATAGGTTGATGGCGAGAGTACTTGACGGGGAGCGGGCTAAGTTGTAAGGATGGGGGTGATTTTTCTATGATTTCTTTGTGTTGAACTACAGTACACCGATAAGGACGTTCTGTTGAACTTGTAGCGCGAGTATTTCGTTTGTGTTGCACGTCTGCGTTCTGATCGGTGATGATCGTCAAGGTGTAAACATGACGTAAGGGTGATCGTATATCTTCGTACCGTCTCCATTTCGCAGGATATATAGAAGGGTCCGGTAGCTCGACAAGAATACTTGACACCGATATCACGCCAGTGTTCGCCTGCCACGAACAAAAGGTTATGTGATCCCCGTCCCAGTCATGCGGGGGTAGGAAAGACATGAGATTTCAGCGTCTATTGATGTACGACCTATGGGATAGAACGCCAACTGTGTTCCGACGGAGTGTGCATAGTCAACGGCGTTTACTCTTCAGACATGACAATGCCGCCTACTGTGTTGTCGAAACTCCTCTTCCACTGCGGCATCATCGATCGTGGCCTAGGGTTCTCCACGTCCATATCGAAGACTTCCAGGGTCACATTGTGGTTGTTTGCGATTTGCAGGGCTGAATTCCCACAGTACTGTCGGATGACAGTTTTCTCCAATTTTTTAAGTTTGTCCTTACGGCGATCCACGATATTCTTGAATAGTGATAGAAGAGCTTGGACCGATGGGCGCGGGAAGTTGCAGTTGACGTGTAATTCACGTATGCTGGCCGGTAGCATTTCACCCATGCAGGGAATATCCATATATGTCCAAGGAGTCGCTCCACTTGGTGTGAAGGCTTCTCTGCCCAGTCGTTGTCCACTCTCGACGGGCGGTCCGCAAAAGGCTTCGAGGTCAACTTCCAACACCTCCAGTTTTGGAAACCGCATGAATGAGCAGAGCCCATTGACAATCTCTCCGTGCAGCTCGTCGATGGTCAATGCGAGTTCGAGTAGACGGTCGCCTGTATGGGTGGCAATGACTTCAAGAAACGCGCCTGGATTCCAGTCGAACTCGAGACCGTCCCACTTGCTTTGGTGAGAGTATCGAAATGTGGTGAGTGCTGGCGTGTTTGCGAGTAAAACTGAGAGAGCGCTGGCATCCATGCAGCAACATGCGAATTCAATCTTCGTCAGCGGTGACTTGAGACTTGGGTTTGGCCAGAAGAACGGTATCCCGGCCCAATCATCATTGACAGCAACGGCGCTGACAACAAATAGATTGCGAAGTCGATTCAGGACCATAAATGGCTGTAAGCATTGCAAGCCGAACCTCACATCATAGCCTTCTTCGACAAAGGGCAAGATGGTCTCAAGAGACGCGAGAGGGCATGGACGAGAGCCCGAGTCATTCGCCATAGCGACAAGAGCTTCAACGGATGGTACGAGAGCCTCTGCCGCCTCTGTCTCTCGAACCTCATGCCACCTGTCTGGTAGCTGTAGCTTCTTGAGGTTCGGCAGCAAGCTAAGCAAGGCGATGGTCGCATAAAGCTTATCTACGCCGTCTAGCTCAGGGCGCTGATCTTCCTCTATAATCTGCGTCCACCACTGCTCCAGATTGGCGTTGGCAAAGTACTGCGCATCGCGCAACAAATCCTTGATGTTGTCCATGGCTTCTTCACTGTTGCGAAAATTGGTGGTGGCCGAGGCATCGGCTACATCTTCCTCAGTCCGTCGGTCCCACAGACTCAACACCTCGATATAACGCGCTATCCTGGGTTGGCGAGCAATCTCGTACAAAATCGCAAGGGTGTCTCCACGCCGCGTCCTGTTTGCGTGGGCGGTTGAGCGCCAGTTCCGCCTAAAGTCATTATGATGCGGAAGTCTAGACTTTGCTCGTTGATGGAGCGTACGGCATGAAAGGACAAGATTTTCGAGCCCCTCGGG